ACTGCCCAGCGCACGCCCTGCCTGCGTCGCGCCGCGCGCGCACGCCCTGCCCTGCTCGTCGCGTCGCCCGCGTGCGCCCTGCCCTACCCGAGCGCTGCCCAAGTACGCCCTGCCTGTGTCATCCTGGAGACACTTGAGGCAGAGGCGCTGGAGCTGCTGGAGCTGGAGGCGGTGGAGCTGGAGTTGCTGGCACTGGAGGTACTGGTGCTGTACGCACTGTACCGCAGCGACCGTTCTTCTTGCCGCCGCCGCAGCTGTCCGAGCTACCGCCTGAGTTGGTGCTCCGTCAGGTTCTTACTCTTCCTTCGTCCACTGCCCTTCCTCCAGACGCACTGCTGCCTGCCCCCTCTCGTTACGTTGAGCAGCCAGCCTCCCTTACAAAGCGTCGTGAGCCTTCGTCTCGTCCTGCCTCCCCTATTCGTCGTGCTCGTCGTGTCCCTCGTCCGCGTCCTCCTCCTGTGCCAGGCACTCACACTATGGCACTTCGTCCTTCCTCTGTTCCACAGCGTGTTGCCCTGCCGTCTCCTCCTACGTCCTCTCTTCCTGTCGTTTCGGACCCTGAGTCTGACGCAGTGCTTGCTGCCGACCCCACTGTTACGCGTCTCCTGGCCACAGTCGTCACTGACCCGTCGTTTGAGTCTACTGCTGCGTCTGCCTTAGTTGCTGAGCTTGTTAACTTTACAGCTGCTTGTCGTCTAGAGTACGCCATTTGTCTTGTTGCTGAGTCTGAGTCTGTCTGTCCTCCGTCCATCGGGGGTGAGTGTGCTCTTGGCACAGACGTCCTTGAGGACAAGCAGGAGGACTTTGAGTGTCTTGCGGCTGCTGTACCTCATCTCGTGGCCTGGCTGCTTGCACCTGAGGGAGACCCGGATGCACTGGACATCCTGACCCCGCGCTCTTACGCAGAGGCAATTTCGGGTCCCTACTCCTCTGAGTGGCAGACAGCCATGGAAGCAGGGATGGCATCCTGGAAGTCCACAGGCACTTACGTCGACGCAGTTCCCCCTCCTGTAACTAACATAGTCGATGGCATGTGGATTTTCAGGGTGAAGCGACCGCCGGGTTCTCCGCCTGTCTTCAAGGCTCGTTACGTTGCTCGAGGCTTCAGTCAGCGACAGGGAGTTGACTTCTTCCAGACCTTCTCCCCTACCCCAAAGATGACCACTCTTCGGGTGCTGCTGCACGTTGCCGCTCAGCGTGACTACGAGCTTCACTCTCTTGACTTTAGCACAGCTTTCTTACAGGGCAGCCTGCACGAGGAGATGTGGCTGCGCCGCCCTCCTGGCTTCACGGTCATTTCCTGCAGGTACCCAGTGGAGCCTTTGGCAGCCAGTCTACGGTCTCCGCCAGGCGCCTCGTGAGTGGCACGACACACTAAGGACGACGCTTGCGGCTCTCGGGTTTGCTCCTTCGATTGCAGAACCGTCACTGTTTCTGCGCACAGACACTTCGCTGCCGCCGTTCTACATCCTCGTGAACGTTAACGACTTGGTTTTTGCCACTGCTGACACTAAGGCACTCGCCCTTGTGAAGTCGGAGCTGCAGAAGAGACACATCTGCACTGACCTGGGTGAGCTGCGCAGCTATCTTGGCTTGCAGATCACCTGGGACAGAGCACGGCGCACCATCACCCTGACTCAGTCACACATGGTGCAACAGGTCCTTCAGCGCTTCGGCTTCCAGTTCTCCTCGCCACAGTCCACTCCTCTGCCTACCGGTCACTCGCTCTCAGCTCCACCTTCGGACAAGTCCGTAGAGCCGAATGGCCTGTAACCAGAGCTTGTTGGCTGCCTCATGTACCTGATGACCTGCACGCGACCTGACCTTGCGTACCCTCTTAGCATTGCTCGCTACGTTGCGCCCAGGACACATTGGCGAGAGCACTAAGAGGCTGCTAAGAGGGTCCTGCGCTACTTGTGTAGTACATCAGGCATGGGGCTTGTGCTTGGAGGACAGGGTGACGTTGTCCTCACTGGACACTCAGACGCCTCTTGGGTTGATGACCTGGCTACGCAGCGGTCGTCATAGGGTTACACCTTCAGTCTTGGCTCCGGCTCAGTTTCTTGGCGTTCTACTCGCTCGTCTTCTGTTCTCAGCTCCAATTGTGAGGCTGAGATCTACGCGGGAGCCATGGCTGCACATGAGTTACGCTGGCTCACCTACCTGCTGACCGACCTGGGAGAGCGGCCTCGTTCTCCTCCAAATCTGTACGTAGACAACAAGGCCGCTATTGCCTTGTGTCAGGAGCACAGACTGGAGCATAGTGTTGGAAACAAAAAGTCGCTAGAGCGCAGCGGAAGCTCTAGGAATTAACGACGTCCCTACGGCGGGGCAATGGACATTCAGAGGTAACTCTCCTAGCTTGTAACTTGGTGCCAGAGCAGCGGCCGAGGGTAGGCCGGACACAAGCTTGGGAATTGTGTGATAATAGCATGGCAATACATTGATTTATATAGGAAACAGATAGGGCAAAGAGTTACCGTAGCGCAACTGTATAACAGTTGCGCTGCGTCGCTTGATTGCCCTGTTACAGTCGAGATGGCGAGACTGTTCAGCTTCGGCAAGGGCGCGGTATCCTGCCGCGCCCCGCAGGTCAGTTTCGCGCACTGTAGACGATGCCTCGCTGTGCAGCTCGACTCTTCAGCTGCCACGAGGGTCGTAACCGCTGTGCTCGGTTGCGCCCCGTTGACTCGATTGGGGCAGGAAACACTCGATATGGCAAGCCCCACTAGTACACTTCGAACAGTGCACTTTACAGTAAACATCGTAAAACATATTCTCAACACATAGAACGAAGCACATCGCTCTGCGTTACTTCCTAGCTCGAGAGTTGCAGCAGCGTGGTCAGCTTCGTCTTGCTTACGTGGCCACCCGGGCCAACACAGCTGATATATTCACCAAGGCACTTCCGCCTGGTGATCATCAGCGCTTCTGTTCTGGTCTAGGCCTTGTGGCTGCTTTTACTGTGATCTATAATATATATATATATATATATATATATATATATATATATATACCTGCATGCTTACACTTGCTAGGTTGTGATCACTGAATTGTTTGTTCTGTTTTATAGAACTCTGCATGTGAACTAGCCTTGTGGCCATTTGCTTGTGCTCGGACTGTGTGGTGACTTCGTGATCCACCCTGAGCTTGCTTTGCTTCTCTTGACTGGTTGCACTCCCCCACTTTGCCTAGGGGGGTGTGTCAGAATATTGTGCTGTTTAGGCTGTAGTGGGGTAGCCAATATGGGGTACAACCCAATTAGGGTTAGTACTTGTACCAAACTGTTTGCTAGTTCATTCATTCATGCTTCCACTTTCTGACAAAGGGGGAGTGTCAACGGGGAGAAAATACTGGATTCGTACCCGATAGCGGAAGGAAGGGCATTGGGCCGAGAGGCGGATGAGGTGGCTGAGGGAGGGCATGAGATGTGGACAGGGATGTGACGAGAGTAGGGATGTGGCGGTAATGAGACGGGAGTTGGGTCAGCGAACTAGAAAGAGAGGCAAGGACTGGAACAGGCGGAGGCAAGGTGTGCCAAAGGGGGAAGGAGAGTGCTAGGGTAGAGTGAGATGGTGGAGTGGGATGGGCACAAAGAGGGAAGCCAGCCTTGCGAAAGGGAGAGGCAAGGTGGGGAGGGTTGGGTGCATTTTCAGAGAGGTAATTACAAGGGGAATGCAAGGCGTGCAAAAAGGGGAAGAGAGGTGGGGAACGGGAGGATGGAGTTCTTTGCAGGGGAGGATGGAGTTCTTTACAGGGGAGGATGGAGTTCTTTACAGGGGAGGATGGAGTTCTTTACAGGGGAGGATGGAGTTCTTTACAGGGGAGGATGGAGTTCTTTACAGGGGAGGATGGAGTTCTTTAGAGGGGGGAGGCCAGGTGAGGAGATTGGGGGACTGGGATGGGCACAAACGGGATGGAAAGAAAGGCGGGGAGCAAGGGGATGGAAAGGTGGGGAACAAGGGGATGGAAGGTGGGGAACAAGGGGATGGAAGGTGGGGAACTTGGAGATGGACGGTGGGGAACAAGGAGATGGAAGGTGGGGAACAAGGGGATGGAAGGTGGGGAACAAGGGGATGGAAGGTGGGGAACTTGGGGATGGACGGTGGGGAACGAGGGGATGGAAGGTGGGGAACTTGGGGATGGACGGTGGGGAACAAGGAGATGGAAGATGGGGAACATGGGGATGGAAGGTGGGGAACAAGGGGATGGAAGGTGGGGAACTTGGGGATGGACGGTGGGGAACAAGGAGATGGAAGGTGGGGAACAAGGGGATGGAAGGTGGGGAACAAGGGGATGGAAGGTGGGGAACTTGGGGATGGACGGTGGGGAACAAGGGGATGGAAGGTGGGGAACAAGGGGATGGACGGTGGGGAACAAGGAGATGGAAGGTGGGGAACATGGGGATGGAAGGTGGGGAACAAGGGAAGCAAGGCGTGCCTCAGGGTAAAACACAGGCGAGCGAAATGGGGAAGGAAGGTAGTAGGGGGTGCGAGATGGGTACAAGGGAGAAGCAAAGAGTGCGAGTGGTAAAAGATTTGATGCCGAATTTGTCCGTAGTTCGTGCGGGGCGCTTACCACGCGCTAGATTCAGCTAGTACCCTGCCACACAAGAAATGCAACAAGCCAGACACACGAGCTGAAACAGGCAAATCAGCTTTGAACAAGTCAGTGATCATTCCTAACCCTACAACTCCTCCCTTCTAATAAGTATCATGAAGTCCCACAATCAGCTACACGCTACGATGAAGTGGAAGCGTGAGCAGCTCGACTGTCCTGGTCCGCATCTCTCTTAAGAACACTCTGGCAGTCACACCCACTTGTAGGAGAACCCAACCTGGGAGATAGCCAGATAACGCGCAGTGAAGTGCTGCAGGGACAGCAGCCAACACCATCTGCAGCTGATGAGGGCGTGTTGGCTGCAGAAGCAACAGCAACAGCAGGAGAAACGGCTGCCAACAGAAAACGATGACCTTGACATTCGCCTGCACCTCACTCTCTCAGGGAACATACCCTCGCGCCTCTCTCAGCTCCGCCAAACCGGTCTCCATCATTATAAAAGGCATGGAGATATTGATGAGCTTATTCCCCTGCTGGTGCAAGATGCATGCCTCCCCCCCCGAATTAACCTGTCGCACCAGCGCCTGCTCCCCTGTGCCCAGAATCGTGAAATTGTCCCAGTTGAGACCCCCCAGGTGCATGAACAGCGAGCTGTAGTGGTCCAGCTTGATGAACGGCGCCGCCATCACCGCCGCCGCGCCCCTGTGCCCGGCGCGCCTCGCTTCGTCCATGACGCGCTGCTTAGGCTTTGCGGGCAGGCGGTGGAACGGCGACATGGCGGAGTCGAACTGCACCGTGCGGTTGTTCCTCCACGCCGCTCTGCTCGCCGACTCCGCCGCCTCCGCCTGTGCGCGCACCGCCTCTGCCACGTCGCTCGGCGATTCCCACGCGGCGCGCACGGCGGCGGGGTCGGGGTTGGGCGCGCGCGGCATGTCGCGGAAGAGGTACTGCTGCGCGAGGAACGCGAGAATGAACCCGCGCTGGTCCTGCATGCAGTCGCGTACGTAGATCAGATCAATGATCTCCGCCAGCGCCCACGCGTACCCGCCATAAGCTCCCGCGTTAGGAAACCGATTCACAGACGAATTTCTTTTATGAGGAAAGTACGGCTCTAGCTTCTTCCAATCCGGCCAGCAGAATATCTCCGCGCCGAAAACGACGGGCGCGTTGAGCGCGAAGAAGGCGTCGAGGAAGTTCTGCGGGCGGCATTTGGGGTGCGGCATGAGAAAGACGTCGTCGGCGTCGGTGGTGATCACGACGCGATCGCGCGGCAGCGCCGCGAGGAAGTCGCGGATGGCGCGCAGGCGGCCGCCTTGGCCCGTCCAGGGCTGGCGGCTTCCGATTATGGAGAAGCTGATCCCCGCCATGTGCGCGAAATCCGCGAGGCGCACCATGTTTACCCCGCACTCAGACGAGTAGATTACCCACTCCAGCAGGCATCCCGACTGGGAGAACCTGTTAGGAGGCAGCGGATGGTTATCCCACGGATCCGCCCTCGCGTCGTACTTCACCGTGCACCCGTCAGCAACCTGGTGCTCCGCCTCCCCGCGTTCGCGCAAGTCCCGCCCGCGCGCCATCAATGCCTCCCCTTTGGCGACGGCGGCTTCAACCAGATTCGTGCACTTCTGCGAATGCAGGTCCGACAGCATGTTTAGCTTGAACAGATGTCCCGCGCGCTGCGTCACGCACGAGTCCCACGTGTCGCGGAACTCCTCCGCCTGCGGCGAGAGGTCGGTGGCAAACGTGGTCCAGTAGCAGATGTACGTGAAGACTACGAGTGCAAATGCAGCGCATCCGAGGCCGAGGCGAAGGACGACCGCGATCTTGGAGGAGCAACACAGGCGGAAAGCATCAGAGATTAAACTTGGAGTAGGCGCCATGGGAGAGGACTGCACGACTGCTTGAAGTGCTACATTCCTGGAACTGTGTTATTAGTGGTTGATAAGGACGTGACACAAACTGTGGGGGACGCTGGATGGACTGCTCCCTGCTGAGAGCAAGGGTTTCACGTTTGGGGAAAGTGGCACGCTCGCCTGTGCGTCGGGACGGTTATTCGTAGATGGTGTTCTAGGGTTTCTGCAGACTGCGCTAGGGGTCGCGTACTCTGTGATGGAAGTATCATGCAAGGAGCTGCTTGTTGTGTAGTTGCTTGTGTGAGTTGAAGTGGCAGGGTGTGTGTGCGACCAGTAGTGTTGGGCTTCAGTCGCTTGGTGTGTTTTGAGTGTCGCAAGGTTGGTTTCTGTACTTCCAAGCAAACAAACTTTCCGTTTTGAGTCACAAGGAACCATGAGGGCGTGTCCAGCGCGTACACTTTGGGTTTTAAACATATTTTTAACGTCTTTGGGATCACGAGGAGAAATAGTACCGCCAGGTGTGGCCTTTGAGTTTCATTAATATATAGGGGGGGAAGGTTAGCGGAGGCGAGGGGAGCTTTTCTGGGCGGAACACTCCCGTAATCCTCCGTAACTCAGCCACCCACTCCCGTAACTCCCCAGTCCGATTACGGAGCGATAAAACCTAGGAACACAGAGCCCACGGAGCCACGATAAAACCTAGGAACACAGAGCCCACGGAGCCACGGAGGCAAGCGCGGAACACAGGCGCAACCCCAATGCGGATCGCGTCGGCTTGGATTCGTCCACGACGGATCCACGTACGTTTTTGTGGACCCAAGAAAATGTATTTCCGCAAAAGTTATCCACGTGTTATCTGCACGTTCGTTCAAAAAAGCGCGAAACCAGTCACGCTCAGGAACTGTCTCAGCTCACCACGTGTTGATTTCACAGTTGTCGAAATTGCCGCCGAGCAGCACACGACCCTGCTGACGAGAGCAGTACACGTGTTGCAATCGAATTCCTTGAAGGCAATCAGCGAAATGTCTTGATATCGCAAACACAACATGTGTTCACTTGTTAATGGATAACGAAATTGCAGAAGCGAAACGGATATCGCTAAGTTCAGCGCACGTGCACGTGCGAAAAAGTACAGGCAACCCGTTCGTGTCGTGCACAGTGCGTCACCAACCTCTCGAACCGAACCACGTCAACCGCGCCTGCTTTCGTCGTTAGCCGTCCATATAACGGTGGTGAAAAATCATTCGCAGGTGCGTCAGTGCAGGAACACACCCACGGAAAAAAAATGCATCGTTCCAAGAAAACACCAGCTCACCTTCACCCCGCAGACACGAACAGGCTGCTTGAATGTGATTCGCGGGTGCCTAAACACACGAACGATCCCACGAAAACAGAAAAATATCCGCGACAACAGAAAAATCTTGTGTAGCAACCAGCCGCGAGAATGAAAAAACACGCTAAATAATTTACTTCACACGCAAACAAAATGCTTTGTCAGTATAATCTCGCTACAAGCCCAGAGCACGTACACGCCCGAAATTTAAAGGCAAGCTGTTCATACGCACTGTGCTTCACCAGCATCCCCGAACCGAACAAGTTGTGCACACGTCAATCGCGACTGCTTTCGTCGGGTAGCCGTCCACGTGGCACGATCAGGCTCCGAAAACATATTCGCGGGAGCGCCTGTGCACGAACACACCCGCGAAAAATGTGCATAGTTCCCAAAATACACCAGGTCACCTCACCCAGCAACGACGAAAAGCGGGCATCCTGTTTCGCCGACGCGAAAAAAAAAAACGCACCGAATACAGGCTGTGGGTACCCCAAGTAAATGAACAAACGCACCCGCGAAAATGTGTATCGTCGTGGGGAAACACAAAAAGTTTACATCGCTAAACCGTGTCAGAACATAATGCTTGTCTAGTCTGTAGTGGGGTACTCAATAGTGAGTATAACCCTTTTGGGCTTGCTATTTGTACTCCGCTTCTTTCTAGTTCAATCATCTTTCCTCTTCTACTGCTTGCACTTCTCTTTCGTGTACCCTAAACCTAGCTATGGCTTCTTAGTCTTAGCTACTATTTTGTCATGGAATCAGAGCGGTTCCGCTCTTGGCCTGTGGGCCCCACGTGCTTCCGCTGCTTTCCTGTCTGTCGCGCGCCCCGTGGCGCGCGACGTTTTTTCTTCCCGCCGCGCGTTCGGGTCGCGCGGCGGTTCGCTGCTCCGTCGAAGCGCCCCCCCCACCCCCCCGTCGCCAGCAGCAGACCCGCCCGTCACCCCCGCTGCCCCGTCGCGGCGCCCTGGGGAGCCGCGCGCGACCCCGCAGCCATGTCGCGGCGCCCTGGGGAGCCGCGCGCGACCCCGCAGCCGCGTCGCGGCGCCCTGGGGAGCCGCGCGCGACCCCGCTGCCCCGTCGCGGCGCCCTGGGGAGCCGCGCGCGCGACCCCTGCTGCCCCGTCGAGGCGCCCTGGGGAGCCGCGCTCGCCCCCCTCCCGCTGCCTCGTCGTGGCGCCCTGGGGAGCCGCCCGCCGTCCCCCGAATCGCTCACGGATCGCCCCCCCCCTCCCCCCCGCTGCTGCCTCTGTTAGGGTTTGGGGGTGGCGCGTGTGGGGGTGGCGCGTATGGGGGTGCTGGTTGTGTGCTCCGTCCCCTGCTCCTCCTCCTCCTTCGTCTCCCACTGCTGCAGCTGCCGCTGAGGGGGGTGGATGTGTGGGAGCCGAGGGTTTAGGGTTTAAGTGGGGGTGGCGTGTGAGTGGGGCTAGGGATGCAGCAAAGGGGTGTGTGATAGGGGGGTGTGGGACTGACAGGGGGGGGGTGAGCGGAGGTCGCAGTCGTGTCGTCTGCAGTGCCTGTAGTCGGGAGCCCTCGTGCTCTTGGTAGCCCAGCGAGCCTGCTGTGCCAGTCGCCTGTGGGTCTGTTGCTCCTGCCGCTCCTCGTAGCCGCGGAGCCTGATAACCCCCGTAGTCCAGTGCCCTCGTGCGCTCGGTAGCCACTGTGCGCGCCGCTCCTGTTGCCCGTTGTGTCTGCAGCTTCGCCCGTCGCCTGCAGCAGATCGCCCCCCACAGTTTCTCCTCCTCCTCGCTTGCCCTCTGTGTTAGTCTCTAGCCTTTGCTTATCACTATGATCTACTGCTCTGAATGCTTGTTGTGCTGGCTGTACCCCACCTTGACTATGGGGGTGTGTCAGAACATAATGCTTGTCTAGTCTGTAGTGGGGTACTCAATAGTGAGTATAACCCTTTTGGGCTTGCTATTTGTACTCCGCTTCTTTCTAGTTCAATCATCTTTCCTCTTCTACTGCTTGCACTTCTCTTTCGTGTACCCTAAACCTAGCTATGGCTTCTTAGTCTTAGCTACTATTTTGTCAAACCGTTACCCGCGTAGTTGCCTTGAACGTGCCGCTATTCACAAATGCCCCAACGCACGATTCGAATGTTAACTTTATTTAACACGGTTTAAATCGGTTCACTAAGGCTGCATTCGAAATTCTTGATGTTGATACACTGAACCGAATATAACCGTACTTTACCAAGAATGCACCACGCTTCAGTGCATCGATTCACCATCGTGAGAATGGCGTTCGAGGGGTGAACCACCTGCTGCCCGAACAAATCACGTAAACTCATCTCAATAAAAATATCGTCCGTGCCCCGATGCACGAAATCCCGTGAAAACGTGTATCCAAGTAATACGAAAGCATTTTGCGCCTAGAAATGTATCGCTTCAACGCGAAAAACGGAGAGCGCGAGAAATCAGCAACACTCTAAAAGTCACTTAGGTAACTACCCGAAAGTAACAAACACACATCCTTCACGTGAACGGGCTTCAAAAAAATGTCGTACGTACCCCAATACATGCCTTTCCGTGAAAATGTGCACCCAAGAAGCAATCATTGTTTCACGCATATATTGTTTTCTCGGCTGCGAAAATTCCAGACTTCGTTAAAAGACATGTAACGAGTTCGTCAAAATCGCTTCTAGACTAGTTTTGTTTACGATTATTGGCTCACAAGTCTTGCAACTTGTTACGCTAGAAGTACATCATGACCAACTGCCCCGGAAAATCGAGCACTACGTGGCGACTGGAAGCGTCCTTTCGTGTACAATAAGCGCGTTCTACGGAAATGCGCTCGTGCAAGAAAATACACGTGTGCGAGTGTATCGCGAGTGAATTTCGGTTGGGATTCGGGTACAAACGCTAAGAGATTCGTGGCTCAGGACGGTTTCATTCAATGTTTAACCCATTTCGAGCACTTACCGTGTTTAACTGTAATACATCAAATTAGACCGCAACCGAACCAACAACCCGGAGTGCGAAAATCGGGCTTCTGCCGTGCTTGCGGAGTGCTCACGAAACGTTTACCCCCCAAACCACGAGGACGTGTAGTTAAATACCGTGGGCATTTCGCACGACTATAGGGTGTACATGTGGACACCCCAATGCACGAACATTCGCGCCTAAACGTTTTGCGCAACAACACGAAAACACCCACGGAAATTGCCAATTGTGCGAACAGGTTGCCACTATCACAACCCGCAACCCACGAAAGCTGAAATAACCACGACCCGCGAGGAAATGTAGTTTTTTAGGTGCGAATTTCCGTGCTCGTGCGTTTTATATATGGGGCGTGAAGTCGAATAGCTCGTGAAACCGTGGGCAGAAGGGGAAGAAGTCTGTATTCCACTGCTGCACGAGTGAAGCGAACTGCAAAAAGGCCGATATGTTTTCGCAGGGGCAACATGACGCAAGGTTACGGATTTCGCGAACCGGGAAATTGAACACGAGACATCGGAAGACTGCGACGCCGAGTAACCAGACGGGTCTGTGCTGCGTCAGCCAGGCCCAGCCCTGGTCGTCGGTTGGGTCAGGAGGTCCCAGCCGAGTTACGACAGCCAGGCCAGGGCTGCGTCAGCTTTCGGCCGAGCCACGTGCGACCGTGGCTCGGTCCCCAGCCATGCCCAAGGGTCGGCCGCCCAATTTCGCAGCAGGGGTGAGCGGCGAAGTGCCCAGGCGTAAGTTCGTCGGTTTCCT